TCTCTCTCTCTCTCTCTCTCTCTCTCTCTCTCTCTCTCTCTCTCTCTCCCTCCCTGCCTCCCCCATTATATGTACATATAAATACATGTGCATATGTGTGCATATAAAGATATATATACCCACATATAATGATCTGTATTTATAAAATGCTTATCTATTTATCTGTCTGTCACCAGACCTGGGATTTCATTGGAGTAAGGAACTCACAGAAGCACAGAACTTGAAAATTAGAGGGAACCCTAGTGACCATCTAATCCAACCCATACACAAAATTATTCCCAACTATAATATACATGACAAATGGTCATCCATTTGTCAGACATTCAAGGAACAAGAACCCACCAATTCTCTAGGCAGACCTTTGTACTTTGAACAGCTCTAATTTTTAGGAAATGTTTCCTGACATCAAACTCAAACTTGCAACTTTGCAGCTTCCAGTGATTGTCCCTGGTTCTACTCTCTGAGACCAAATGGAACAACTTTAGGGACCATTTCATGAGGCATCCCTTCAAATACTTGGAGAGAGCTATGATGCACCTCCCCCCTACCCAGTCTTCTCTTTTCCAGACTAAACTAGTAAGCACTGGAATAAAAACTAAATCCCAGTTCTCTAATAACTATAGTCAAATGAGGTCATTTGTTGAAGGAAAGACATCCCTGGGAACAAAATTTCATTGACACAGGTGTGTGCAACCTCTGTTTTCCTTCCTACAGGAAGACGAAGCTAAAAATAACGCAAGCAATTGGGTAGATTCTGCTCACTTCCTACCCACAAGAGCACTTCCTGAGGAAGAGAAATGGTCCCCAACTATTCCTGGTATCCAAGTGAAACAAAACAGCACAATTCAGAGTTACCTGGTACCCACTAATAAGACAACTTCCTATAACTACAATGTGCATAATCAACAAGACCATTGCTGGGAAACATATGTTGGACAGGTAATCAGGCTTCAACAAATCAGTATATTTATTACCTATGAGGGAAATAGTCTGTGATGAGTGACTCCTGAGAAGCAAGGGAATGTAGAATATGGAGGCTGTGAGTCTGGGAAATGCTCAGAGAAATTAATTCTGCCTGTGTCTTGATGGGTTCAATTTACACCATTGTGAAGTCAATATGCTACCTGTGAAGTGTGGTTGGAGAAGGAGGAAGCTTATGGCTTCTGCTTTCCAGGGCAAGAGAAAGGGAAAGGGGAATTACAGAAGCATGCCAAGACTGAGAGAGGAAAAAGGCAAGGGGAGGAGAGGTGTAATATGAGCTTTAGGCAAGCAGACTCTAAGAAGGACTGAGAGAAAGAGGAGTCTTGAAAGGGCTTTAGGGTGGGAATTAAAGGAAAATAAGTCCTAGACCTCAATGTATTTGCATGTGGCATAAGGATTAACTCATAGACCAATAAAATGCTATCATTTTTCTTTTTTTTTTTATTTTATCCTACTATTGTACATCATAGAGAGGCAGTACAGCTTAGTGGAGAGGGTACTGGGGCTAGAATCAAGGTGATCCCAATTCAAATCTTACCAGATGGGTTGCAATACGCTCCATGGAGAAGGAGCCCTCCCAATGCAATTCATTTTAGTATATTCCCCTCTTAAGTGAAAGCCTGGGAAATGCCGTGTGTCATGTTCTGGAAGCAAGAGGTCAAGAAAAAAAGTCACATAGTTACCTTTAGATAACTAAACTTGAAGAACCCAGGAAAGAGAAGAAAACTGAGATTCCGAAAAAAGCAGCCTGCAAGTCAAAATCTCAGATATGGGGATGGGGGATAGGGAACATATGAAGAGTGAAATTATGGACTTCATACCACATTGCTAAAATTTTTGGAAGAAAGAAGTATCACCACACATCACTAGAAAGATGACTTGAAGGTGTTAGAATAATCAAATCACAGATCTGGCAGGGACTGCAGAGGTCATCCAGTCCGACCTCTGTCTGAAGTATAACTACCTTTGACTTTTAACTTATATTTCCATATTTTAATATTTCAAGAATCTGTGATTCCATTGATGTGGTTTTCCTTCCACTGAAGATGGCATTGCTGGTACAATATTGGAAAAATAGCTCTTCTGTGCTTTAGTAAATTCTGGCCTTTGGGTTTGGCTATAGCTAGAAAATTCATCACTCTGCAGCCATCTACCTAACCTAGCTAAACTTGTTGGATGATGGATAAACATTCTCAAATTCTTTCCAGCTTGGTTAGCTCATTCAGGTCAGAGTTTATTGGGCAATTACCTAGCCACTAGAAATCTAGGGCCACCTCCACATCATGATACGCATTAGAGGAGGACTGGTGAAGGTCTAAATGTGTTTCCCTACATTCCATTTTTCTTTAGATACCCATTCCTTTGTTCAGATCCACACATTTATTCCTCAGTATGCATTGGCTTTCTCCTGCCCATCAACTTTATAAAATAATAATAAGTAATGCTGGATGTATAAAGCAAAACTATAATGTAATAAGAATGATATAATTTAAAACAAGCCAGAACATAAATATCCAACTGAGTGTTTTCTTGTTCAAAGTAGTTATCTGGAGAAGATTTCGACTTTCTTCAGTGATTACCCTGACTCAACATCATGTTTAGAACTTTTCCTTGGGAAAGTAAGACCTTCAAGACCACTTCATGAATCTTTCTCCTCCCACTCCCAATAGCCCATCCACCCACACACACTTTCTCAGTACTTATTTCTCACAAATTATCATATGGCCCAAAAGGAGCATCTGTGAAATTTATCTAGCCTCCTATGAGGATTCCTCTAATGCAGACAACATTCACTTAGATCTATCCATTCTGGTTATCTAACAGTGTTATGCTGTCTATGGAAAATGAAGATAGCATTGCTGGTATGGTGGCTTGTTTTCTACAAGTATCAAAATGTTGTAAGACATAGAAAGTCAGCACCAGACTATTAGAGACCTAAATGGGAGTCAAGAGACTTGAGTTCTAGTCTTCGTTCTTCAACTAAAGGTAGTTAGTCCTGCGTGTCCTCACTCCTCTAGGCCTGAGTTATCACACTTACACAATTAAAGGGCTAAAACTTTCCAGGAAACTCCAAAGGTTAATCAAATCCACATTTTTGTTAGTATCTACTGCATTCAAGGACCAAGTTGACGAACCGTAACTAGGACAGGAGAATTAAGATTTTATATCAGGTTACTGACATAACGAAGAGGTACCTGTCCTCCTTACAGCAATCCACTAACCACTACTGTTACACCTTTTCTCAGTTTTCCTCTTATCCCAAGGGATGTGACCCTATTCCTTTACTCACCACTAGCTGCCACTTCTCTGGTCTCGATACTCTGGCATTCCTATCTCAGGGCCTCCTCCCCAGTCCTCACAGAATTGAAAGCCAGGCCTCCTGGCTCCTCTTTAAGGTGAAGGCAAACTTTGATTGCTTTCCAGTTTTTCTTTTTCCTCATGGGCTAGTCTAACTGACTGACAGCCACAAGTAGATACTTAATCAATATTTGTCAAAAGAATTAATAGATTAACATCTAGAAGGCTCAAATAGATATCAGCAAACATCCTGGGATCAATGCAGATTCATGTGGGTGAGGGAGAGGTTTGAGGGTAGAAGAGGAAAACAACTGGTGGGAATAGGGTTGCCTTAAAATAAGTCAAGCTAAAAAACTAAAGAGACCTAGTACCATGTTTTATAAGAGGAAAACAATGTCACTAAACATTTATTAAGCCCCTACTATGTGCCAAGCATTATGCTAAGCACCAAGGATGCAAAAAGAGGCAAAACATAGTCCCTGCTCTCAAACAGCTCATAATCAAATAGGGGAAACAATCCTAATTTAGGGAAAAATAGCAACATTAGATACAAATGGAGAAAAATATAATCCTAGCTCTCATAATTTTAAATGTGAATGAACTGAACAATGTGATAGAACTAAAAAGAGTGATAGGATGAAAAAATACGACCCCAGTCTACTGCTTACAAGAAATATTAAAAAACAAACAAAGAAAGAAAGAAATACATGGAATAAAAATTAAGGAATTGAAAAAATTGACTATGCATTAATTAAATGTAGAAAAAAGGAGTTGCAATCACACTATAAAGACTAAGTAAAAAACAGAGATTCAAAACATTAAAAAGGATAAATAAGGAATTATACTGATATAGTATACATTATACTGAAAGAAACCATGGGTTCCATTTTACCAGTGCTAAAAAGAGAATGAAGATACTGGCAAATAGATATAGGAGAGACAGGAAGAAGTCACTGAATTTATATAGTCAATAACACAAGACCTTTTATTTACAGGAAATGCTGAAGCTCTCCATTATTGATATGATTTTCACAGTGGCAAGCATTCTGCTTATTGACTTTTTCCGTGGTCTTTTTGTTCGATATTTAAGTGACTGTTGGTGTTGGGACCTGGAAAGCAAGTTTGTAAGTTCAGTGCTATATTGGTTTAAGATGTCTTGCACAAGAAGTTCTGAGTGAGCAACTTTACCCTCTCCTGTGTTATTTACTACATTAGCCAGACTTAGGAGCTCTAAGGAGGATAGATGATATGGGAGAAGGGAAAGGATTAGTTTCCCATGAGATTAATCTGTTCCTGTCTCTCTGTCTCCATTCCTCTCTCTCTCTCTCCCTCACTCTCTCTCTCTCTCTCTCTCTCTCTCTCTCTCTCTCTCTCTCTCTCACACACACACACACACACACACACACACACACACACACAGCCATTTACACAAACTCAGACTTCAATCTCTAAGGTTCTGTTGCATTGCAAATATATAATTCCCTGGCTTAGACAAAGAGGTTTACAATATTTTATTCACTATTTACTTTTCCATTTTTACTTGTAGCCTGAATATGGAGAATTCAAAATAGCTGAAAATGTGCTCCATTTGGTCTACAACCAAGGAATGATTTGGTAGGTAACAAAACTATTTTTGTGTTCTGGTCTGTCCATTCCATTTGGAGGCTTCAGTTTATGAATGCACTGTTATACAGCATTGTCTTAAGAATTCAAGTTCCATCACTTCCAATAGCAATTATCATATATAATTTCATAAGATCTTTCCTTGTCAGTTCTCAAAACACTTTGTAAACCAGTGACATCACGTTTCCAGAAAAGGTGAGGATGATCAAGAAACATGTTCAATTCATTTTATTTGTTTTTAAAAAATCAGCTACCTTTTTATGGGGGCAAAGAATTGGAAATTGAGGGGATGCCCACCAATTGATGAATGGCTTAACAAGTTGTGGTATATGAATGTAATGGAATACTTTTGTACTATAAGAAATGATGAGCAGGTGTACTTCAGAAAAACCTGGAAAGATTTATATGAACTGATGCTGAGTGAAATGAGCAGAACCCGAACATTGTACACAGTAACAGCCACATTATGTGATGACTGACTTTGATAGACTTAGTTGTTCTGAGCAATGCAAGGACCTAAGAGAACTCCAAAAGATTCATGATGTAAAATACTATCTACATGTGGAAAAAGAACCATGGAGTCTGAATGCAGATGGAAGCATACCATTTGCTTTCCTTTTCTTTTGTTTTCTTTTGTTTTATTTCTTCTTTCTTGGGGTTCTTCCTATTAGTTCTAATTCTTCTATACATCATGACTAATGTGAAAATATGCTTAATATGAATGTATAAATAGAGACTATATCAGATTACATACTGTCTTGGGGAAGGGGGAGGAGAGGAAGGGGGAGAAAATTTAAAACTCAAAATCTTATGGAAGTGAATGGCGAAAACTAAAAATAAATAAATTATTTAAAATTTTAAAAAGATTTTTTTAAAAATTAAAAAATTAGCTACCACATTTAAAAGTGATCTCAAAGGAAAACTCAAAAAAAGCTGACATGAAACAGCTTTTCCTGAGCTCTACAGAAGAGGAAAGTAAGAATGGGTATGACTAGAAAAAAAATCATGGAGGAAAAAACCAATGAGAGCTAGCTTTATGATCTTCATCTCTATTCATCTATGAACCTCCATTTTGTTCATCTATAAAACAAAGAGATTGGACAAAGTGGTCTCAAAAGTTCTTCCAATTCTAACAACCTATTAGTGACCATAAGAGTTTCCACCACACATTATCTTGCTAAGATGCCATCATCATCTTTTGTGAGAGTCACAACAAATCTTTTCTTGAAATGTTTCCCAAGTATCACCCTCCCCTAATAGAAGTGATAAAAATTCAGTTCTCTCTTTTTTTCTCTCTTCCTTGTCTTCTCTTATTCTCCTATCCTCATCACTTCATATAGTTTTTACATGAACAAGATGCAGCTGTGATAAAGAAGAAAGATCACAGGTTGGGGAGGTGACACCTCTGCTTCTACCTTTATCCCTAAGTAGCTGTGTGACCTTGGGTGGGTCACTTTACTTTCCTGAACCTAAATTTTCTCATCTGAAAAGAGGTGAAGGGTTGAGCTAGAAAAGTCTCTAAGCCCCCGTTTGTCTTATTTTCTCATTTCCCTCTTCTTCTTTATATCTCTTCCAATATCTTACCCCAACTCCTCAGTTCTTTCCTGTCCTTCCTTTCCAAGTTCTCAGCTGGCTCTAAAATAATATGAGTTCTTTAATTTTTTTTTCTCAGCTCTCTCATTTGCAGCTGATAAATGGCCCCATGCTTCTGCTTGAAGTGAGAAGAAAAGACTCATGGTTTTTCATCTGAAAATCCCACAAATTTGCCCCTGCTATTATTGCTCCTGTTGTATTATGGCACAATGAAAAGAACACTGGATTTGAAATTGAATTTTAATTCCCAGCGCTGTCACATACTACATTATGACCTCTCCTTGGCTTCAGTTTCCCTATTCGTAAAATTAGCAGGGGTGGAGAGTACATGATTTCTAAAGGTTCTTCATAGATCTAGATCTAAAGGAGATCCCCTCCTTTCCACAGTCATTTCTGTGTAGCTCATTTCCACACCATGCTATCACTATTCTATTACCTCTACCTTCTGACCTATCTGCCTGAGTTGCTACAGCATTTCTAATGGTTTCTTGTGTTCATCTTATTCACTGGTGGTGGCCAGGAGGCCACTTTCCCACAATGTGCCTTTAACTCACATGAGTAAAATTCCTTTAATCATTAAACAACGCTGTGAATTAGGTATGCCAGCTGTTATCTCCATCTGACAGTGGAGAACTCTGTAAGACAGAGAAGTTCAGTGACTTTCTTAAGGTCATATGCTTATTGATGGATGCAGGATTCACATCTCCTATCTCTTAATACAGTAGTCTTTCCACAGGACCACATTGTCTGGTCCTACTTGTTAAATGACCCTTCCTCTCAATTCTATTCAGACCAACTACCCACCATACCCAGTGACAAAAGGAAAACAGGCAAATGAAATTTTATTATAGCCAGAGAAATTGTAGCTGATACATAGGGAAAACTTTCACTGTGCCAACTGGTATTGGAAAAACAATTTCAGGGCAGCTAGGTGGCACAGTGAATAGAGCTCCAGCCTTGGAATCAGGAGGACCTAAGTTCAAATCCAGCCTCAGACACTTGACACTTACTAGCTGTGTGACCTTGAGCAAGTCACTTAACTCCAATTGCCTCACTCAAAAAAAGCAAAAACAAAACAAAAAAACAACACAAAGATTTTGGCGCAGTTAGGTGGCTCAGTTGATTCTCTGGCCTTGGAGTCAGGAGGACCTGAGCTCAAATCCGGCCTCAGACACTTAACACTTACTAGCTATGTGACCCTGGGCAAGTCACTTAACCCCAAGTGCCTCACCAAAAAGCAAAAAAATTAAAAAAAAATGAAAACAACAACAACAAAAACCTTCTGAAGGGATTGTAGGCTTTTTTTTCCTTTTGAGGATATTTAATAATAGGATTCCCTTCCATCTGTAGAGAAGATTCAGGTCTATGAACATTTACAAATGAAGATGTTGGACTTGATCATTCCTAAGATATGTTTTAGTTCTAATATTTTATGATTCTATGAGCATATGCATTTTAATAATCCAGCCTAGCCCATTAATATATAATGTTATTGCCCTGTGCAATTCCTTTATGTGACTTCTAAATAATTACATCAAAATTTAATTTACAAGCTATTCCAGTCAACACTCACTTATTAGATTTGCACTACATGCACAGCACTGTGCTAGAAACTGGGGATTCAAAGACCTATGTAGGTGATACCAACCTTTCTCTTAAGAAGATTACAATCTAATGGAATAAAAAGACATTTACACAAATATCTATGATACAAGGGAGGGAGAGTGAAGCAAATACAAAGAAAGTGCCAAGTAAAGTGCTATGAGAAATATGAAGTATTTTTCCTCATAGAGGAGATGACAACCAGGATGGGGCTTAAAGATAGATAAGTACTTCCATAGATGTATAAGAGAGGCCTCTTTCAGCACATAACTCTTTCAACCACTATTACCATTGACCTTCTGTATGCTTATACCAGTCCCTTTTGAGGATAAATAGATGGACAGAGGAGTGGCTAAATGGCCACCTGGGATTAATGGCCTCCTTTACCATACAATCTTCCCTATTCTCCCAATTTGTCACCCTTGTTTCTTTATTTAAAGTCTTGATGCTATAGCTAAACTATTTAACAATTCAGTTTCCTCTACCCTTAAATCTCTTGCTCTCATATCTTTCTAGTATCCACACTTTTCCAATACTTGTGCTCCTCTTCTATCCTGGACTATCATTTCTACCCTTTCTACATTCTTTCCCTCAATATCATGAGCTCCCATGTGTTCAATGATCATCTCTATGTTAATTATTCTTAAATTTATGTATCTAGTGCTAATATTTTCCTCATCTCTAACAGCCTTCTTGGTATCTCCACATAAAAATTCCATCAATATCTCAAAGTCAGCATGTCCAAAACAAAAACTCTTCTTTCCCCCTCTCCCTGTCCTTATTTTCTATTAACATTCTCCCAGTCATAAAAATTCATAAATCTGGAGTCATCAATTTTTCTCAGTTCTTTTTCATATTTAGATTCAATCAGTTTTCATTGTGCCAATTGTATCTCCCCACCATCCTTCATATCCATCCCTTTTCCTCCACTTCCACAGCTACCACCTTAACTCAGGTCCTCATTATTTCTTACCTGAACTATTATTAGAGACTGCTCATCATTCTTGGTGTTTCTGGTCTCTCGCCTCCCCAATCCATTCTCCACACTAGTTGTCAAACTGTCTTCCTAAGGCAAAGAAAGTTTTGACAGTGTTGCTTTGCTGATCAAATATCCTTAGTGGCTTCTTAATGATTTTAGGCTTAAATATAGCCTAGCATTTAATGGCTTTCATTATTGGGCCCCAAGTTTCTTTTCTAGCCCTATTTTGCATTATTTCCCTTCATGAATTCTATATTCCAGTGAAACTGGATTACAAACTGTTCCCTGAATACAACATTTCATCTCTTACCTCCATACATTTGCAAAAGGTCTTTCTGATACATTCCCTCTCATCACTGCCTCTCAAAATTCTTGTTTTGCATCATGGTTTAGTTTCACTTTGACCTCCTTCATGTAGCTTTCCCTGGTTTTCTTAAATTGTTAGTGTCCTCTTCTCCTCAAATCATCTTACATTTTCTTATTTGTATATATACTGTACTGCTCTCCTCTCACCCCTCCAAGCAGAACATAAGCTCTTTGAGGGCACAGGTTGCTTTCATTTTAATTTTTGTATCTTGAGTACCTAGTGCTTTGAATATCTTGAGCATTTATTATATGTTTGTTAAATTGAACAAATTGAATGGGGAGGAGTTCATTCTATATACAGTATAAAATAAAATTTTAGGAACAGGTAGGTGAGTGGTCAAGAAGAGATAAAAAGTAGTCCAGTTTGGCAAGAACAGAGTATGTAAAGGGAGTAGTGGAATGAAATAAAACTTAGATAGGCAGATTGGAACCAGGCTGAGAAAAGCCTTGAATGTCAAGATAAGGAATTTGTAATTAAAAAAAATAAATAATGCCTAAGATATTGTATGGTAAGGTTATCTTTTCTCTTTTTTACAGGATGGGAGCTTTTTTCTCACCCTGTCTTCCAGCATTCAATGTTCTCAAATTGATTGGTCTGATGTATTTACGGAGCTGGGCTGTGCTGACCTGTAATGTACCCCATCAGCAAGTTTTCAGAGCTTCCAGGTCAGTGAAATAACTTCTTTTTTGTTTGTTTGTTTCTTAATTTTTGTATTTAATCAATCACTCCAGTACAGAGTATTTTTTAATTGTTAGTTATGCCAGGGGTTTTTTTCCACTTGACAGTATTCTATTTTTTTCCAACTATATGTAAAGATAGTTTTCAACATTCATTTTTAGAAGAATCAGAATAAAAGGGAAAAGTCATGAGAAAGAAAACAAAAAAAAAGTGAAAATAGTATGCTTTGATCTACATTCAGACTCTGTAGTTCTTTCTTTGGATGTGGATAACATTTTCCATCATAAGTCTTTTGGGATTGTCTTGGATCATTGTATTGCTGAGAAGAGCTAAGTCTATCAAAGTTGGTCATCATACAATGCAGCTTTTACTGTGTACAGTGTTCTCCTAGTCTTGCTCACTTTACCTAGCATCAGTTCATGTAAGTCTCTCCAGGTTTTTCTGAAATCCACCTGCTCTTCATTTCTTTTCTTTTCTTTTTATTTTCTTTCTTTTTTTTCTTTCTTTTTTTTTTGGCCAGGCATGGGGTTAAGTGACTTGCCCAAGGTCACACAGCTAGCAAGTATTATGTGCCTGAGGTCAGATTTAAACTCAGGTTCTCCTGAATCCAGGGTCGGTGCTCTATCCACTGCATCACCTAGCTGCCCCTCTGCTCTTCATTTCTTATACCACAATAGTATTCCTTTACATTCACATACCACAACTTGTTCAGCCATTCCCCAATTGATGGGCATCCCCTCATTTTCCAATCCTTTGTCACCACAAAAAAGAGCTGCTATAAATATTTTTGTACATGCAGGTGCTTTTCCCTCTTTTATGATCTCTTTGGTATACAGACCTAGTAGTGGTATTGCTGGATCAAAGGGTATGCATGGTTTTATAGCCCTTTTGGCATAGTTCCAAATTGTTCTCCAGAATGGTTGGATAAGTTCACAACTCTACCAACAACACATTAATGTTCCATTTTGCCCACATCTTCTTCAACATTTATCATTTTCCTTTTTTGTCATATTAGCCAATCTGATAGGTGTAAGATGGAGCTTCAGAGTTGTTTAATTTGCATTTCTCTAATCAACAGTGAATTGGAATGCCCTAGTACATGGTCAATTTTTGTGTAGGTGTCATGTACCACTGAGAAAAATGTATATTCCTTTCTATTACCATTCAGTTTTCTCCAGAGGTCTATCATATCTAACTTTTCTAAAATTTTATCCATCTCCTTAACTTCTTTCTTGCTTATTTTGTGGTTAGATGTGTCTAGTTGTGAGAGGGGAAGGTTAAGGTTCCCTACTAGTATAGTTGCTGTCTATTTCTTTTTGTAACTCACTTAACTTTTCCTCTAAGAATATGAACACAATACCACTTGGTACCTATATGTTTAGTATTGATATTACTTCATTGCCTATGGTACCTTTCAGCAAAATGTAATTTCATTCTTTATCTCTTTTAATTAGATCTATTTTTGCTTTTGTTTTGTCTAAGATCAGGAGATCTCCAAACCAGCTTTACTAAGATCAGAGAGGCTTAGCACCAGATTGACTACAGTGTCATGAACTTATCATGGAAATATTTCAAAGATTATTTAGTAAGCCATAGAAGAGTTACCATGTACATCTATATTTAGATTGCCTTCAATCAATGAAATCACAGGTTATTAAAATATTCAAGTACAAATTGCTTATTTATATAGCATAACCTCCTGCTAAGTTTCAAACACCATGAGAACAGGGACCATGCCTTATCTGAAACCGATATCTCCCCAGAAGTGGCCATAGAGGACTCTGAACATAGTAGGTGCTTAATTCAATTTCTTGAATTGTAGTCATCTGGGTTCAATCTTCTATGGCTAGCATTAATATCCAAAGGTCTAATGATTAACCAGAAGGAAGGACCCCAGACTATAGATTTAGTGGATAAGTTATTTTACTTTTCTGGACCTCAGTCTCCTCATCTGTAATATGGGGGGATGTAGTAAGGAAAAGTTGCATTAAAGGAACACTAAGGTCCCTCCCACCTCTAAATCTAAGATCTTATGAATAAAGTGAAGAAAACAGAACTGAGGAGTCCTATTTCTATGGAGTTTATTCTACAAAGAGGAATCAGGGGATACCAACTTTAATTTGCCCTATGAATTAGAGTACCTTTTGCTCATAGTTGCAAAGAAGCCACTGAGATGAGCTGGGGACAAGACAAACTGAAAATCCATCACAGAAATCATGATATAAGGAAGTAATTTAGATATTGAGTGTTGGAAAACAGATCCAGTCTGAGGAAGAAACATACATCATTTTAACTGCTACATCTGCTCAGACCATTCAGTCAAGCAAACTGCCTTTGTCAAAACTCCCTGAGGACTTGTTTTAGGTAGCCATGGATTTGAGGAAAAAGAGCTCAGGTCACTATCCCCCTTCAAAGTAAAAGAAGAAATGTGGCCAAGTATTTGAGTCACACATACACTTATACAATGAGAAAAAAAAAACTTTAATTACTATATTCAGATAACCAGTTCTATCACACCCTAAATCAAGTGAGGTATCTCTTTAAGGGCTAGGCTAGATTTGTCTATGTGTCCAATTGTATTCCATTAATAGTAACAGTTAGCATATGGTATTTTAAGGACTGCAAGACGCTGTACATGTTATCTCATTTGATCTTCATAACAACCTTGTCTATTATCATTGCCATTTTACAGATGAGAAAACTGAAGGATAGAGAGTTTAAGTGACTTATCCAGGGTCACACAACTAGTAAGTATCTGAGGCAGGATTTGAATCAAGTTTTCCTGACTCCAAGTCCCATGATCTAGCTAGTGAACCACCTAGTTACCCATCTGGATGTTTCTGTACCACTGCTGGTCCCAGTAGCATCAATTCCACTCAAAAAAATCACTTAATCTTCAGTGCTATATTGACTTTAATTTAAGAGACACAAGACCTAGTCAAACCTCAGACACATGCACTTCCTTCTATATTTCAACAGCCTCAGGCACCTCAAACACATAATATCAATGAGAGAACCACTTAGCTCAATTTCCAGTTCTGAGTTGTCCATCAAATGAAAAACCCACAGATGCCATGATATATTGTCTGATAGGTCACGTCAATAGCATACAAACAGTCTGCCATTTATTTTTTTATTTGTTTGCTTGTTTGTTTATTTATTTACATTTATTTATTCCCATTTAGACTGTTCTGCCAAATGCGCCAATGTTATTATTTAAAGCGTATCCAACCAGATATTAACAGATAAATTTTTATTCTGCTTACTGACAGACTCCAGAGCATAAAATAGAACATAAAACCCTGTTCCTTCATGCTAAGCCTCTGGACCACCATGGAATCAAAGATTTAGAGTTAGCAGGCACATCAGGGATCATTTAGTCTAACTCCCATTCATTTTACAGGTGAGGAAACTGAGGCCCAGCAAGGTTAAGTGATTTACCCAAAATCACACTGTAGTTACAGAACCAGGTCTTCTCTTTCTACTGAACTATACACACAATTTCTCTCCAGGGTATCTTTTAAATGAATTAATTTTAGACAATTGGTTTCCAGATTGCCGTATTTAAATAATAGAAGTATACCCTTTTCTGCTCCAAAATTGTACTCCATTATCTCACTATGGCAAAGGAGTATGACACTGATTTCTCAAAGTCTGTGCCAGCAGAGGACAAGCTCTGGCAAGTAACACCAAACTGGAAAGGCTTTGAGTAGGGACCTGGTGAAAGATTCCTGTATATGGACCATCTAAGGACAAACATAACTAAATGCAAAGATGCTCATCAACAGGTGAGCCACAGGATAAAAAAAAAAGGGGGACACAAAAACTCTTGACTAAGTCAATGAAGGGTTAAAGTGTGTAACAGGAGAAGGAGTAACTACATTGATAAATCACAGATTCTTCAAGTATTCAAGTACAAGTATACATTTTACAACATTATTTAATATAAGGTGGACATGGTGTTAATTTAGAGTTCAACTCAACAAAGATTTATTAAGAACTTGCTAAGTGAAATTCTGAGTGCTATACCCTGGGGTAATAATAATAATTATTATTATAACCAACAATAAGTATAAACTATAATTACTATTATGAAAATATAATGTAATTAGCAATAATTATATACACATATTTTGTTCAGATAACATTATGCTTATTACAAGGCCCCTTCAATGAAATATATTACTCTAAAGAGGTCAACCTCATAAAATGTAAAACCAGAAGGATGCTATAGATTAATTTATTAAAATTTTAGCAAAGCATTTAATAAAGTCTCTCATGCTATTCTTACTGGGAAATGAAGTCATGATAAGGGCACAATTAGCTAGATTCAAAATGGCTTGAATAGTTACAATCAAAGAATGATCATTATTATTTTGGAAGGAGAGCCCAAGTAGAAGTTTGTGGGGATCTTTGCTTGGTCATGTGTCAGATATTTGGCTAAAAACACAAATTAAATGCTTATCAAATTTTCAAATGGTGTCTCCCCTAAGGTGTGAGAGGTAGCTAGCCCACTAGAGAAGAGTATAGGGGTTCAAAAACATCTTGATGGGCTAGAACTTTGGGTTGAATTAAACAAGTTGAAATTTGCTAGTTAGAAATATAAAGTCTTACCCTTGAGTTTAAAAAAAGATCAATTTCACAAATATAAGATGGAGGAGAAAGGCTAACCAGAAGTTCATAGGGAAAAGATGGGGGGGAGCAGTGAGAGGGATTATTGCACTGCCAGTTAATTTTTCATCATCAATGTGATATGGTAACTAAGGAAGTTAATGAGAGTTTTAAGCTGCATTAGAGAGACAAAATATTCAAGAATAAGAAGGTTATAGGGAGTTAAATGGTGTGATGAATAAAGCACTAGATCTGGAGTCAGGAAGACCTGAGTTCAAATTCTGCCTCAGAAACTTACCAGCCATAAGGCAAGTCACTTCACCTTTGTCTTCCTCAGCTTATTCATTTGTAGATGAAAAGGCTAAGGTGGATTGTGAGGTACACCAATGGAGAGACAACTCACATTAATGAGATCACTGATCCATTTAATTTTTTAAGTATAGCATTATATAAATCAAG